GATCAGAGCCGCCGGCTGCTAGAATTCTCTTTCGGACAGCTGCTGAACTCGACCCAGCTGTGTAGCAATCTGTCTATCTAGCCGGAGCAGTTAACAAAAAGGCTATAGAGCGCGTGCGAGTTTTCCTTCAACTTCTTTGTACTATCCTTATCCCTTACTTCCACACACGCGCGCGCGCTACAAAATACACATATCGGGCGGGAGACCAGTCAGGAACTTAAAGCTTGTCCCGGCTGAGGCAGCGCCATGCTGGTGGGAGATACCTGATTGGGGTGATTCCCCGCTAGCCGACATAGGTGGACCCCAATCTCACTATCTAGCAGGGGAAGATCACTTCCCGCGATAAAACCAGCACTGCACTAACAGATCTTGTGACCATAGCAGAGGACGTGCCCGGAAACCTCTATTAAATCAAATCAATCAATCGTCAATAGTACGTATCGTCTTCGTTGGTTGATGCCAGTTACGAGGACAGATACGCCCACGACGCTCCGCCCCAGCGCAGATTGGGGGAGATGTTAGGGAGAGAAGATACCGAAGAGCATTCGTTTGTTTCAGATGCATTCGCCTGAAAGTAATCAGGTTAGCATTGGAAGCCATCAACCAGAATCGCCTACGAACTCAATCTAACAGGAGCCACAAACTTCCTGCTCTGCCGGATGTTTCTCAGTCAAGCAGTCACGTTTCTGTCACCCTTCCAAGATCGGGGGTTTCTGAGTACTTATCTAACTATTTACTTTGCGATGCGTGTTCAGCAAACATTTAAGTCTTCTTGCGTTTGGAAGTTTGTATACATGAACGTAGGGAAATTTTGCATATATGTGAAAGATAAGGACAACAGGAACGAGGAAACGTCACGACGCAAGCACGAGAGCGAATATCGGCAGTGCGTGTGTAGTATATGCTCGACTGACAACCAAAGACCGCAGCGGCAACCACCAAGATGCGAGTTTTGGTTACGCGCGTGGCAGCTTTGTTATGTTGTGCTCTTTTTCTCTTGAGTGACGTTTCGTGCGTAGTAATTAAAAAACATCAGTGCGCAGAGAGACAGATTCTGAAAACACTTGATTTACCGGAATTTTTCAAGGACAAATATTGCAGAATTGAGGTGAGCGGTAGAAAATAGTATTAATATTCGCGCGCGTTTTCTAGAGCTCCAGAAAACCTATCCCCACTCCTGTGCTAACATTAGTTGAATTAAGAATAAATTATAGTAACAAGCGTTGTAGACAAAATCTGATAACCAGAAATGTTTCCTCTCGTGTAATAGAAACTACTTTGTATCGAAAAACAAACTTCAAATTTTATATGTAATTATTTTTGTAAAAATAACCAAATTCCCCACTCCTCTGGCAACTAGCCAAGCGAGAGCTCAAGAAAACGTGCGCTTTTAATACATATCGGTAATTGTACGTTTTTGCAAAAACTGTACATGTCGTTTGCAGATTACGTATATTCGTTTCTGAAAATCATTAAAGCCCTCTGTATTGAATACATTAGTAGTATTTTCAGGATTGATCAAGGCTTAAATTAATTCAGACAAGAATATTGAACGATATTGTGGAACTACGAATTCCGTGACATGTATAAAGGCCAAGAATAATTTTGTAAATTATTTTGTTTTATCTCAGACGGCAGTAAACGGTTTTAGACCATATGATGATTTTTACACAAAAGTGAAGCAAAAGAAAGAAAAAATTCAAATAATAATACATCTAAAATCAAATCAAATCCCTAGCACTTATCTTTATCTAAACAGTGTTTCATGAGAAAGAAAAATGGTTTGAAAACCTACATAAAAAAGAAATATAAATGTAGTGTTAATATATACAAATAAAAATACAAAAAATAATGTATATATAAATAACAATAAAATTATAAAATATTATCAAATGACCCAATTATTTGGTCTTTTAATTCTAGATGATATATACTCTAACAAATTTATCAGAGCTACAAGAAATCGGGAATTATGTTTCATGTATTTATGATTGTTCCTTCTTTGAAATTTTTAAAAATGACATACATTTTTTTAAAAAAATTATATATCATGAAACATTTAAAATTTTAGTAATATGCATGAAATTGGAATTTAAAAACAAACTTTAAATTCATTTTTTTTTAATAATTGATTGATTTAATAATTGATTTTAATAATTGGGTCTGTAATCTCAATATTCTAATTGACTAATTTCCAATATACACAGAAATTGAAAGACAATCTTGCAGCCTATGGCCACATGGCTATGTGTGTTTATGGCTTCCCAGGCACTTGGAAAAATTTAAAAACAATGAAACAGTTTTGATTTTGTCTGAAATATGCAAATATCTGATTCTGTTATTCCATCTATTCTAATATTGTGCATAACCAACTGAATTCTCATACTCAGTGTTTCACTACTTACAATACAACTGATGGCATGGAACAGGGAGATTCCAATGAAGACCCCATCTGCCAATAAACATTTGATATTCACAGGTTGTGGTATGGATACACCACTTTTTTGATTTTCTTTGTATAGAAAGAATTGTTGTAGTGAGAATACAGCCTACTGACCTTTTTAAAATATTTAATTTATTGCAATGTTACACAAGAGTAGTATTTTATTTGTTGTTCTTGAATATTGTGCACTCTACTTTTTCAAAAACCATTTTCTGTGGTTTCAATAAACAGTACTTTTGCTGCCACAGAATTACTAAAAATACAAAATCAAGACTTAACTTAAAAATACAGATCTACAACATTTGGAGATACTATTTCCAATTCTCATAAAAGGGACAATTCATAACATTATATTTAAATTAATTCACATCAATATGAAATTTCTTTTTTGTGTAAAATCTTGTGACTGAACCTGTCTGTTTCCTTAGTACTTTGCTCCCTTAGTAAGCATGCTGTATCATTTTCCTGATGGAATGAGATATTGTCATTCTCCCAGTATCATGCATTGAAAAATGTTTTGTTCACATCAATCAAGAAAAAAAGATCTGAAAGATAATGATTAATGAAAGCAGGCATTGATAAAAAAAGATAAATACTTCCTTTCACTATTGGTAAAAATTTTGCTTAGTTCACAAACTTTTTTTCCAATTATGTACTTCTTATTTCAATTTCAATAGTTTTGTAGTCAATATTACATTTTTTGAAATAGACATGATCAGTAAGATATTTTAACATATCAATGTTATTTTCAATATTGTTTAGTAAATTCTAATTGTATAAAGTAGTTTTATTATTTTGAACAACCATTTTTCAGTAGAAAATATATTTGCAAATCCAACAATTCCAATATTATTTTTATCCAGCAAAACCAGTTGTTTTTTTCTTTTGATTTGATGATGAAAACTGATTAATTCAATTTCTTTTCTTTTTATTTTGATAGACCCAAGAACGGAGTTTGAGGAAGACGAATTGCACTTTATGGGATTTTGCAGAAGAGGATGGTGAGTACAATAATGTATTTGAATGTATTTCTTTATTCTTCTTTCTCTAGATACACAGTAATTTAAATTGCAATGTTACATTGTTGTGAAAACTACACTTTAAATTATTGTGAATTTGTAGATTTATATTCATATAAATGTACTTAGATTTTTAGAAGTCCTGACAATAAACTGCATTCAAAATTATGGTATTTGCAGGGGCAGATCCAGAGACATATTTTGGGAGGAGAAATTCAAAATGTTTCGGTAGAATGTGTCATATTACAGATTTAGTAAAATGCTGCAGCCTACACCCAGCTCTTGCTGCGATACAATTTTATTCGTTTTAATGATTATCTAAAAATATTTTGGTTGAAAGCTTTGCATCATTTTAAAATTAAAAGTTATTGAAACATTTTTGGAGGGGGTATTTCCCTCACTTCCCTCCCCATCGATCCACGCCTGGTACATGTAAAACAATGTTAAAATTATTTTGGAAGCCATGACAAATCTTTTTTTTCCATATTGGAAGTTTAATTTTGTTCATCACATAAGATGCCTAATAGATATTAAAAAAATCAGATTGGGATCAAAGCAGTCTTGAAATAATTTGACAGAAGTTAACATGAACATTATGGATCTCCATTCAGATATTTCTAGAGCAAAGTTGGAATTACGAATGCCAAGGAAGGTTGTGTTGTTTTTTAATTGATTAATTAGCGTTTCTGGGTGTGTCAACTGCTAAGGTCATTAGTCCTGTAAGTGCATTTTTAATCATGGAAGGTAGCACTAATCTTCCCTCACTGGTTGGCAAGTATCGGCACCAATGTACACATGGGCTTGCGGGCATCCAGGTATCTCCTACCAGCAGGACTCCAACCCATAAGGCTCTATATTCTCGACAGGTGTGGTAGTGTAGTGCATAAGTGTGTGTAAGTAAGGGATGCAAATAGAACAAGGAAGAAGGAAAGATCACACACGTTCCATTGCCTGTTTGTTAGAGTAGTGCTCTGTCATTCATCTGAATATGGAATCATCAATCAGAATATAAAATATTTCTTTTCTTTTTTTTATTGTTAAAACTTCAAAGATTTTATATTTAAAGAAAGATAAGTAGTACAATTGTTGGTGATTCTGAGAATGGATATGACAAAGGTACAATATGAACATGAAAGTATCAATGAAAAATTGAGAATTAAATATCACAGATGTACTAGCATTTAAATAACTTAATTTGATGTTTTTGTATATATTTTATGACCCGGAGATGCTCTTGCAATTATTAACACAATTTTCATTATAAATTAATTGATATCGTCATATGCATGGGCCCTGGAATATTGACTTTTGAGCATCATTTGCATTAAATGCTGTATATATTATAGATGCAAATTATTCTTTTTTTCTTTGCCTTTGACTGCTTTAGAATGTGACCAGAAGAACAATGATGTATGAAGAGTTGCTCAAAAACCAGAAGCAAATGATACAATGTAATTTCATTTTGTAAAATTTCCCTATACTGGTTGACTGGCAAAAATGATAATATTCGATCCCAATACATGATCTAGAAATTAATGACATTTGTACTGCAAAGTCATCCTGAAATATATATTTTTTATGTAAAATGTACAATTTTTAATTTGTACTCTTTCTTTTTATATTCAACTTAAATTTCTCTATTTTGCATTGGAGCGAACACAGATGATTATTAAAAACTAACAAACTATTGGGTACTTAATCTATCTAATTTTAATGTTTATAATAATTTCTCTTTGGTGTTATGATCTTTTCAGGTTATCATGATTGCACGGATCTTCAATTCTCTACGTCATTGAGTTCAAATGTATTAGGAACTGAAATTCTTCCATATAAAGAAGCATATCCTAACTTCGTTATTAATTTCAAAGATATAAAGTGGAATTGTGAGTACATTTTCTCTGGTTTTGTCTCTGTCCTTATTTAATTATATGTAGACAACCCAGCCTAAGCTATTTACTTCCTTAAGTAGAGTGTTGAAATTGAAATTGTGTTTGTGAATAATTCTTTTTGAAGAAAACTTTTTACCATAATATATTTAAACAAGAAAAATTTATTAAGTCTTATCTGGGAAGCAATGATTTTTTTCTGAGAAACTGAAAAGGATTAAGGCATATTAAATTTTAAAATCTTCTAGGAATTAATTTTTTTAAATTGCAAATTTTGGAAACGACAATAATTCTTTGTAGTAAAACCAATAATAATCCATGTTGTGGACTTACCAAATCCTATGGGTCCCTCAACATGTTCCCCTTAAGAACAAGAATAGAATTATAGAAATTGATTGTACAAGAGAATAAAATTTATATTTTATTGGTAAGTGAAAAGTTTAATGTGAAAATGGCAATGTGATAATGAAAAGTGTTTTGTGTGGGGGTATTGTTCAAACAATATTAAAGTCATGCAAAAATTAGAAAATATTTTCTGTTAAAGGTTATCTGCTAACAGTTTGATTGAAATGTTTTCAATTCGTATGATCAATAGTATCTGTTTTACTGTGTACCTGAATACCTGATACCAGAAATAGAATGAATTTATTCATACATTTTTTTGTTGGGACTTCATGAAACCTGACTGTAAAGTCCATTTATAATTTTAGCATTGATCCCAAACTATCTTATTTTACAAGATCTCTTACAGCAGTCTTGGAAGAAATGCCAGATTTGAACTTTTCTTTTATTGGAGACCATCTAGAAAGTGACAGATACTTACACAGTATTCAGACTTGCAAGTTCAACTATTTTTCAAAAAAGCCTGGTAATCTATCGAAAGTACTTTCTATATTATCTTGTACTGAAAGTACAAGAATTAGAAAACAAAATTCTACCTACCAATCTGCCAACAGAAAATTGCTTCATTTGTTCTCATGATTGTCAATTAAATGTGTTTTTCACATACACAATTTATCATAAAATCGAGGTCTCAAATATAATATTGTATATAATATGGGAAAGTCACTGCACGACAAACGCTTAGACTAGGCCAAACCACCTCATTTTGGAACTCTTCTGCCTAGTGATGGAAACCCCAACTTTCTTGCCTTGAAATGTAAATTACCTTTAATAATTGGATTTGTTGCATAGATATGCAGTACCGCCTGCAAGTGGCCAAAAGTCAAAAGTGCCATAGAGTGTGGTTTGACCCTTCTTCAGAGCGCGAGGCTCTGAGTATTTCCTTTGCTTGCAAGCAGTTGGGCACTTGGTGGGCTGGAGGATTGGATGCTGAGCTACTGGTGGATGTGGGATTGGCACCTTCTGACATCACCGCTCACGCTCACTATGTGCTTAAGGTTCCTCTGGAAGGTGAGTTTCCAGCAAAGACTGGTTATTGCTGCATAATATAACAGCAGCTTTTTTGCCAAGTCCTTAGAGGACAAAAATATGTTGTCAGATCCTGGCTCATTGTGCTGCAGTCATACCTCGATTCATTACAGTTTACCAAAAACCTCTACTTCTCTAAAAGCTGCTGCAACAGTACATTTTTTTTTTCGTATTATTGCATACTTCCATAATATGATATTGTCCTTCAGCCATCACTCAAAAAACGTAAACAAATTAACTGAAAATTACATTAACACCACTAATATTTTGAAAAAGTGCACATTAAATTATTTAGAAATCATATATTGAAAAATACATTCCTTAATAAAAGAAATTTCTAGCTTCAACATTGAAGAAATATGTCAAGTTTAAAAATGTATGAACTTTGTCGATATATTACTAAAAAACTACTAACATGTTTAAAAAATGAACAATAAATTATTTAAAGATGCAATATTGAGAAATACGTTGCACTAGGAACGAAATCTCTGGATTAGAATGGCTGATTCAATTATCAGATTGAAAATAAAATAACTTTTGTAATTTTCAAACTTTCACAGATTTTTAATGAAAATCGAACATGTGGTATATTTATTAAAATTGTATTATTTAAAAAATCTGTTTATGTATATTTTTGTTTTAAATGTTTCACCCAAATTATGCTAAGCTAATTATTTGTACTTTTTCGCTACTTCAAACGCAGTATAGAAAAAGTTAAAAGATAATTATCTCACGGAATTTCTCGTCTTTCCCGGCCGCGCCGCTAAACACATCGCACTGCTTGATATCAAAGTCTAATTATTTATTATTATTATTATTATTATTATTATTATTATTATTATTATTATTATTATTATTATTAGCCAACTGCACATCCCATTAAGCAAGGGCAAGGGCCTCCAGCTCGCGCAGGGGATTATTAATCCTTGAAGTGATAGGATGATGATGAAGGGTGAAGGGACAATCACAAATACATCCATGCCCAAGGCGGTTCGCGATCATGCGGCACGACCGAGAAAGACGCAAAATGCCGTGAGATATTACATCGTGAAGAAGGAGCCTTGTCGCGCCACTTCATAAAAACCAAAGCAGGAAAAAACGGCGAATTTTACGACACAACCCTTGTTGCCGGGCCCTAGTAATAAAAAAGTGGACAAATCCAATTGCTAAATATAGGGGGGAAATTCCCCTAACACGTGGTATAGAGGAAAGTTCCTTTGACACGTCAAATGTTTTGTGGGTCCTCGATTGCGAAAAATCGGTTCACGGCAAAAAGTCCGTCCGCCCGTCCGTGTGTGCATAACGCTAGCGGCTAAACCGTTCAGCCGATTTTCTCCCACATTGATATTCCCCAATCGATCGTGCTGATGTCGCAACCTTGAATTTGAAATCGATATTTTAATTTTGTAGGGTACTTTACATGAAGTCCCCGAGACATTCTCAAAATTTAAAAAAGAAAAGGCCTTATTTGAATACTTTTGGTTGATGAATAGTGTGATGGAGGTTTAAGAGAATGGTGCGGGTCTCATTTTCGTTGAAGACCTTGATTTTTCGAGAATTGCAAAAGTTCAAAATTTTTTCGGCGTCTTCCTACAATTACAGTTATGAAGATGGAGATTTTTTTCTCTTAATAAAGTCTGTTCCTTAAAGATAGAATTTCAAAAAAGGTCATGTACAAGTTTTCGAAAATTCGAATACTATTCGCGTAATTTTGTATGAAATATATGTACTTTTTAATTTTGTTTCAACATTTGTTTTATTAAAATTTGACCTCGGATAGCGAAGATAGCGTAAAGGACGGTTATTGAGAGAAAGATGCAGGTCTGAAGTTCGTTAGAAATTTGTTTCTTTGAAAAAATTGTTTCTTTTTAAATGCAAAACTTTTTAAAAAAATCGGCGTCTTCTTACAACCCTACAACAATGTGAAGATATTTTTTTTCTTTATGAAATATGTTCATGAAAAAACAGATCATCAAAGAAGGCCCTGATCAATTTTTTGAAAACGTTTTTTGTGTGTGTGAAATTTGCTGTTAATCACAGTCGCCAGCAATTTTCCGAGCTTCATAAACATAATTTGAGAAATGCTTGGAGGCACTTTAGTGATACGTATGGTAAAATTTGTATATTATTTCATATTTCTTTGTTCGTTTCTTACATTCGAGTTTTGTTATGCATTTAGAAATGATTAAAAACCTACTTGATAATCAATATTTTTTGCTTGTGTTGCGAGGAATGTATTTAAATTCTCAATGTAATGATGTATTTTCTTTCAGTCAATCCGAAAACATTAATTGATATTATCCCGATTAGGTTTTCTCTCTTAAAATACGATTTAAATGTACCATAAAGGAAAAATTGAAAATATTAAGTACCATAAATTTGTACAAACTTCTATTTCTATAATTTTAAATTTATTTTATTTATTATTACTCGCGCAACTTTTCTTGATCGATGGATCGAAGAAATGCGGGTAGAGTGGGGGTATGGCCAATCTCAGAAGAATCAGTCATGACATCGCAACTTTCTCAGAAGTTCGAGGTGTCTCCTGTGATGGATCTTCAGCTGCTTCGGTTATTTCTTTTGATTTTTTGGAGAACATCCCGAGCAGAAGTTCTCTTCAACAGAAAATAGTTTTTATTTCGCGCCAGTGAATGTGTTTGAAATGTCATCAGTGCTCGCTGCGAGCTTTTGCCTTCAACTGTTTATTGTGCCAGAGAGGGGGAAGCGAGTTCATCGTTCAAGAAAAGTTGCGCGAGTAATACCACCGTACGCTGCCTTGGTCCTGATATATATATATATATATATATATATAT